CCGGTTCCAGCAGGCTCGAAGAAGCACGCTCATGTCGGCCACGGCCGAGGGGGGAGGGTGGCAGGCTGCCATGGTGCGTGGGCGCGTCCGTGTGGGCCAGGTACCGCCCCTGGGCGGTCGGGGTAGGGCGAGATGTGTCCATGAGGTGGGTGCCGGCGCGCGGCGGCGGCCCCCTTGCCAGGGCGCCGGGGCTGGGGGAGGGGCGGATTTTCACGCGCTCGCGGCCGGCTCAGGGCGACGGGTGTTTATTTTCAATTCCCCCGGTGTCCTGGCAGGACCGCGGGCCGGAAGGGGCGAGGGTGTGTGCACAGGGGCGGGGGGGGGGATGTCGGCTGCCATACGCCTGTCCTGCTTCATGGGCTGATCCGCCTCCCCTGGCGCCGGAAGCCGGCTACAGGCCGGGGCTCCGCCCGCGCCGGCGCGAGCTCGGGCACCGGCCGCCCCGCCTCCCCCCCCCCCCCCCCCCCCCCCTCCTCCTGGGGTGTTGGGGAATTCGCAGCAGCGCTAGTCACTCCGGGCGGAAGTCATGAACCCGGATCGGCCAGGACCGCAGCGGGGAGGCCGAAGCATCCCGCACACGGGGGGCGATCCCCGTCGGAGACTGAAAAAAACCCCGGGCCACAGGCACACCGGCCCCCGGCAGGGCATTCACCTCCCGACCTGCCCCTGCCCCTGTCTCTCCCTCTCGCCTCTTTTGGACTCTGCTTGTCTCCCTCGCGTGCTGCCTCCCGGCTTTGCCTTGCTGCTTGCTTTCTCTCCGCCGCCGAGTCGACCCCCTCGCGCTTGCTTGATCCCATGCCCTCGCCGGAGCCGCCCATCAACGTGGCCGTGCTGCAGTCCTCGTACGGAGCCTCGGACTCCGTGTTCAAGGATTGGGACACGTATGACTGCACGCCGCGGCACTACTTCGACGCCCTGCCGGTCGGGCACCCGGCGCACGGGCGCTACCGCTTCACCAATGTCTGGCTGGACAAGAGCACCTCGGTCATCCGGACGCTGGAGCTGCTCAATGGCGTGAGCGCTTCGGGGGCCGAGGCGCCCGGGCCGGCCGGCCCCGGTGCCTGCCCCCTCGCGCCGGGGGACCAGCCTACCGCACCCAACACCGCCACCAGCCCCTCATCCAGTGCCAGTGCACAGACGTCAGCCGCCACGGCATCCGTCACCGGGCCCTTCGACTTCTATGTCAATCTCACGGACGGCGCGTGGGACGAGGACCGGGCCGGGGTGGAGGTGTGCGAGGCGCTGCAGCGCTTCCGCGCCCCCTACACCGGCGCCGACCCGCGCTTCTTCTCCATGACCAAGGAGGCGCAGAAACTCCGGCTGAATGAGGCCGGCCTGGTGACGGCGCCCTATGTCTTTTGCTACACGGAGGCCGACCTGCAGGCGGCCGACCGGGGCCTGGACTATCCGCTGATCTTGAAGCACTACAACAGCGGCGGGTCCATCGGCATGACGGTCGACTCGCGGGTGGAAACCCGCGACCAACTTCTGGCCGAGGGCCGCCGCTTCCTGCGGGAGTTCGGCGGCGTGCTGGTGGAGGAGTTCATCGCCGGGCGGGAGTTCACGGTGCTCGTGAGCGAGGGCGGGTGCTCGGGACTCGGGTGCCAGGGCGCCGACGGCGATCCGGCGGTCTTCTGCGGGGCGGTGGCCTGCCCCGGCGAGGCGGCCTCCAGGTGTCAGTGCGATCAGGACACCCGGTCCGGCTGCACGCCCGGCACGTCGGCCAGTGCGGCGGCCATGCTCGACGAGCCGGCAGCCTGCCGGTGCGGCCGCGACCGGGACCCCCTGCCACATGCGTACCAGCCGGTGGAGTGCTCCTTCGCGCCGGATGTCACCTTCAAGTACTTCGACATCAAGTGGATCGCCTACGAGGGCATGGAGTGGACCCCGGTGGTGGAGGAGCCCCTGGCCGGGCGCCTGCGCGAGCAGGCGGTCCGCGCTTTCCGAGCCCTCGGCGGAACCGGCTATGGTCGTGTGGATGTGCGTCTTTGCCAGCGCACCGGGGACCTGGTTTTCCTGGAGATCAACCAAAATTGCGGGCTCTTCTATGAGCGGGCCCTTTGGGGCTCGGCCGATTACATCCTGCACTTTGACAGCCCGGAGCATGGGGTGGCGCGGTTCTTCGAGCGCATCCGCCGGGCGGCCTTCCGCCGGGCCCGGCGCTCGATTGCCACCTTCCATGTGCGGACCTGCCCGGCGCCGGTCGGCGGCCCGGTCACCCGGCGCAAGCCGGTCGGCTGCTTTGCCTCGGTTGCCCTGCGCCCGGGGGACTGCGTGGCCTACAATGAGGCTTGTCCGATGGTGGTGTCCAGCCCCGGAGGGTCGGGTCTGTTGCAGGCCGACGCCTCGCCGCCGTTGCTGATCCCGGAGCCGGTGCTGTCCGGCGACCGGGCCATCGCCCTGCGCGGGGCCCCCACTCCCGGGGCCCAGGTCACCTTCTCCTTCTGGCCCGGGGTCAATGGCCCGGCCCCGGTGGGTGCTGGGCCCCAGGAGAACCACCAGGCCAATCCGCAGGTGTTCCGGTCGCCCGCCGGTGCCGGAGCCCCGGCCAACGCCCGCTTCGGCCAGCCCGCCAAGCATGATGGCACGCTCAGGGATCCCTTCAGCGTCTTCGCCCTGCGGGACATCCTCCCGGGCGAGGAGATTGTCCTGGATTATGATAGCTTCCTGGGCCTGTCGCCTGGCGGCAACCAGTGCTGATGTCCATGGCGCCTGGCGGCGGGCCCGGGGTCGTCCAGCGAGGGACTAGCCCGGCGGGGGGGGGGGAGGTGATGAATCGCCACGGCCTGCGGGGCCGACTCGCGCACGCCGCACCCGGCACCCGGCCAGGCGTGCCCCCCCCCCCCCTGTCGGGGACGCCTTTTGTCCCTCTGGCGGGCGCGGTCGATGGCCGTCCACGTGACATTAGAAATCGCCGCGCCCCGCGCCAGCATGCGGAGGGACATGCTCCCCTGCCGCCACCGCACCCGGAGGGGGCGGAGGCGCGCGGATCCGCGCGACACGGCCAATGTTCGAGTGTGCCCCATCGCGTCTGGCGTATGGGACCGCCCCCCCCTCCCCCCCGGTCTGGGTCTTGCCCTCTGATTTGCCATCTGTCTTTGAATATACACGTAGAGGTCCTTCCCCCCCC